GGGCTCTTGAAGATGATGCCCACAGGAGCCCTGAGGAGGCAAGGGTGGGATTTAGGTCTCTGAACTTGGACTAACATCCACATACACTGCACCCCACAGCTGATGTGTGAGCTTGGAAATAGCACCATGAACCAGATCTATGAGGCCCAGTGTGAGGGCCCAGGCATTAGAAAACCCACAGCCAATAGTTCCAGGTGAGGTGGGGACAGCCAGCTTGGCCATGGGGGCCCCAGCCTATGGATGTAGTCTCATGTTCACCTCTGGTCCAGGCAGGACAAAGAAGCATGGATCAAGGACAAATACGTTGAAAAGAAGTTTCTGCGGAAGTTGACCTCTGCACCAGTCCGGGAAGCCCCAAGACGCTGGAGGGCACAGAAGTGCCAGCGCCCTCTCAGCTCCCCCCACGCCCCTACTACCCGCCGCAAGGTCCGGCTTGAGCCTGTCCTGCCCTCCATCGCTGCTTTGTCCTCAGGTGGGAGGGCTGCCAGCAGCTGCACCTGTGCTCATGTACTTGGGCAGGTTTGGGGACAGGCTCAATGCAGCCCTGGGAGGAGCCACCAAACCCTCAATGTTATAGTGGTGTTGGGTAGGCTGGAGGTGGGGCTTTACATGAGCACCTTGGAGTTCTGACTGTCTCTCAATGACCTGAGGCATTCCCCATCTCAGATCTCAGTTTCATCATCTGAACATGTGTCTTATCCCTTGCAGCTGGCACTGTGGAGCGCAAGTTCCGCCGAGACTCCCTCTTCTGCCCTGATGAGCTGGACTCCCTCTTCTCTTACTTTGATGCAGGGGCTGCTGGGGCTGGTCCACGCAGTGAGTGCTGGGACAGATTCCCTTCCCATGCTCTCTGTGTCCCTCAAGAGCCATACCCCATCCTCACCAAAGTAATGTGAGAGGAATGGTTGAGGCTGCTCTGGAGAGTGGACAAGGTGGATAAAACTTGCTCAAGAACTTGAAGAAGAGATTGGGACAGGGTTAAGATTGGAAAAACATCCAGAGGGGCTAGAGCAGCAGTTCTCAACCTGTGGGTCTTGACCGCTTTTGGGGTTGCATATCAGATATCCTACATATCAGATATTTACATTACGATTCATAACAGTAGCAAAATTATAATTATGAAATAAAAAAATAATTTTATGGTTGGGGATCACCACAATATGAAGAACTGTATTATAGGGTGGCAGCATTAGGAAGGTTGAGAACCACTGGGCTAGAGTTATCTTGACCACCAACTTGAGGCTGAGCACACAACTGTCAAGAGTAATATGTAGAAACCAGGGCATGGTGGTTTACACCTATAACCTCAGCACTCACAGGCAGAGACAGAATTGTAATGCATTTAAGGCCGTCCTGTGTTACATAGTGAATTCAAGGTCAGCCTGGGTACATTTGTAAGACTCTCTCTGGGGAAAAAAAAAAAAGGTGTAATGTGTGAAGTGTGGATCGTGTGCACACACAGGTGTTGATGTAGGTAGGGAGCAATTGCGAGTAACCCTGAACTAATGAGATTGAATGGTGACAGCAGAGGGCGCTGTAGTACCCACCCTAAGCCAGGCTCTACAGCTCCTTCCCTCGCTGCCTGGGCTGTGACTTCAGGGTGAAGACCTTAAAGCCTAGAGGGCTGGGAGGGGGCACTCTGGGTTGTACTGGGCAAGGAGGCTGCCCTCCTCCCACCCCACCCCCGAGTCCCTCTGAGCTATTGTTTGATTTTCTCTCCTTTCCTTTTAGCCTGGGCAGCACTCCATGGTGTTCCCTAATAAGGGCTAATCCTGCTCCTGAAGGGGAGAATCTGCTAAAGGGTGGGTCGGGCTCCAGCTTTCCTCCAGTGTTCTGGAACCCCCAGTGCTAAAGATTCCCTTTCCTGTGGTCCCACAGGTCTAAGCAGTGACAGTGGTCTTGGAGGTAGCTCTGATGGCAGTTCAGATGTTCTGGCCTTCGGCACAGGCTCTGTGGTGGACAGTGTCACTGAGGAAGGTGGGTGTGTGCCTCTCTGCCTCCATGTAGCCCATCATCTCAACACCCTTGAGGGTTTCAGCTCCCTATCCTTCACCCTCCTACAGAGGGTGCTGAGTCCGAGGAGTCCAGCAGTGAGGTAGATGGAGAAGCTGAGGCCTGGAGCCTGGCAGATGTACGCGAGCTGCATCCTGGGTTACTGGCACACCAAGCAGCACGCACCCGTGACCTCCCTGCACTGGCTGCAGCACTGGCCCATGGGGCTGAAGTCAACTGGGCTGATGCAGCAGATGAGGGCAAGACACCACTGGTGCAGGCTGTGCTAGGGGTGAGCATAGGCGGGACACCTGACTTCTACACACAAGACTGCATACCTACGTGTGCATTCTATTGTTCTAGATAGAGACAGGCTTGATCCTGTTTTGGGGGTGCTCGTAGCAGGAGGTCAGGGTGCACAGGCCTGCCAGTGTCCTTTCCTGGTTCAGTCTGATTTCCTTGGATCTGTAGGGTTCCTTGATTGTCTGTGAGTTCCTTCTGCAAAATGGAGCTGATGTGAACCAAAGAGATAGCCTTGGCCGGGCACCCTTGCACCATGCTACACTCTTGGGCCACACTGGGTGAGTTCTATGGTATCTCTTTTGCTACCATCCCCTCACCTTCGAGCCATCTCAATATGCCCCTCCACCCACAGCCAGGTCTGTCTATTCCTGAAGCGGGGGGCTGACCAGCATGCCCTGGACCAGGAGCAGCAGGATCCATTGACCATCGCCATTCAAGCAGCGAATGCTGACATTGTCACATTGTGAGTCAGGCAGGGCCCTGGGGACGTAGTCACTGTAAAAGGGACAGTGACTGAGTGGGGACAGAGTCACCTCACACTGTTCCCCACCCCCAGGCTTCGCCTGGCCCGCATGGCTGAGGAGATGAGAGAAGCTGAGGCATCCCCTGGCCAGCCAGGCCCGCTGCCGGGCAGCAGTCCTACAGAGCTGCAGTACCGCAGGTGCATCCAGGAGTTCATTGGCCTCCACCTGGAGGAAAGCTAGGGCCTGGCAGGCCGGGCAGCTGAGGGACCCCTGCCCTGACCCCAGCCTACCCGGCCCAGAAATCCTGCATGTCCCTGAAGATCCTAGCCCCTCATCTAGCCACAGCCCTGCCTGTGACAGCCGTGGCCCATCCCGACAGCCCAGGACCTTGGCATTTCTGGAGTCCCCACTCTCTTGCTCTTCCCTCCTCCTGGCTACTTTAATGCTCAGCCAGAGGACAGGGACCCAAGCACTGAATCTCTTGAAGCCCCACATTTGGGGGACGGGGGCTGCTGCATCACCTGTTGCCCCTCATTTCACCTGGGGAACCTCTGTCTTCAGGTGGTCCTTTCTTCAGGGGTCTGGGCTGTCCATGGCACAAACCACTCTTGAGGTCCATGTCACCTTGTACCCCTCTGCCCTCAGGGCCTATTTCACCTTGTGCCCCTATGTTTACTGCCCCAGAACACTGACCTGCTAGTTAGGTCCTTCCTACATACCCCCAGAGCCCTTCCTCCAGCCTGGGGCTGGTGGCTGGCCACCAGCACCTTCCCTGGCAGGAGTGGCAGCCCACCCAGGGAATCAACCTGAGTACCTCGCTCAGTGACCCCAGCATCCAGGTTGGGCTTTGACGGTGCTGGGAGGTGGAACTCTGGCCCAGGCCTTCCACCCAGGGTGGACGCAGGCGTCCCAAGGCCATGTGGCTGGCCACTTGGGTCCTGGTGCCTGAGGGCCTAAATCCATCCCTGCCTTCTCCAGAGGCACTGTCTGGTTTACCTGGGCCAGAGCCCATGCCTAAAGCAACTGGCACTTTCCACCCTGTGCCCAATGTTCTTTGTTACTGACTGAGAGGATTTTCTACAACGACCTCATTCTGACTTTGTCTGCGTCTTTTTTCTGTGGACTCTCAAGGACCATCCTGATCCCAGCTCTTCCTGCTGCTGGGGAGGCCCACATAGATCTCCCTTGCCCTGCCCCCAAGCTTCACTCCTTGGGCTGGGCCTCTGATAGGTCCAGTGGTCCCTTATTTGGGGGGCCCACCAATGCCTTCAACTTCCCTTTTTCTGAAGGAGTTCCAGGATAGAGGCTGGGCCCCTCTGCATACCATGGAGCCCTTGGTTAGGTCAAGGGCACTCAGCTGGTCACTATGCAAATACTGCCCTGGGAAGCCCCCATGGGCAGTAAGGTAGGCACTGGATCAGGGCCTCTGACTCCCTTGCTTGATGGCTGTGGCCCCTAAAGAGCAGAATCGGCTTCTTCCTCCTGCTTGAGCTCTGCCCACCACCTACCCTGCCACCTTTGGGCTGGCAGGACCCCACTCCTTCCTGCTCTGATCACTCTCACTTAATAAACCTCTGCCGCTTGCATCCACTGCCTGCTCATTGCTGTATCAAGCCTTGCTTGGCTCTGTCTCAGCTGAAGGTTTGTCTGGGAGCAGCCTGAAGCAGAGTCCCAACATTGTCCCTTCCCAAGAGGATATAACCCAGCCACCAGGGGCCTGATGCTTTCAGAAAAACTGACACCTGACACCCTTAGCCCCTGTTCCCTGTCCTCTCCTCTCTGCCTTTCTCTGAATTAGACTGTATCCCTTGATAGGAATAAGGAGGAACACAGTGAGAAGAGCTGGGGCTGGCGTCCCTGATCTGTACCCAGTTTCCCTTACCTATAGTGTGTTTGCTATGTTCTGTTTCAAGGTGTCATTGAGGTACATTCTAAGGTTTGCAAATCACCCTGATGTAGGTGATTGGGGAGACACATATATGTGCAAGACAGCAGATGGAATGACTTATTTTATTGTAGAGCAGCCCAAGGTCAGTAGATGTCTTGACTTAGATTTACTTTTATTCCTGCTTACCTAGAGGCTGCCTTAAAGCCAGTACAGGTTCTATCTGATATGTGTGTATATATATATATATATATATATATATATATATATATATATACACACACACACACGTGTGTGTGTATGTATAGACATGTGTCAGAAACATGCACAGACAAATGTAATAACCAAACAGATTAGAGTTCAGGAGTCTAGAGAGTCCCAGGATACTTCTCAGCCATGTCTTGGGATCCCCTCAACCCAAGAGGCCACTACCTGGTGGGATAGGTGGGTAGAGAGTCCCTGGTGTGTTGGATATACTTGGTTTCTGCATGGGTCAGATGGTTGGTACTGCTTTCTGGGCTCTCAGATAGCTAGTCTGGCACACTCTGGGCAACTAGGGAGCCCACTGCTACTACAGCTCCCAACATTAGGCTGAGGGACCTATTGGGGTTACTTCAGTTGTCAAGATCTCAAGGGAGTGCCGGGGATGGTGGTGCATGCCTTTAATCCCAGTACTTTGGAGGCAGAGGCAGGAGAATCTCTGAGTTTGAGGCCAGTCTGGTCTATATAGCAAGCTCCAGGACTACACGGAGAAACTCTCTCTCAAAAATAACAACAACAACAAAAAAAAACCAAAAAACAAGCAAACAAACAAAAAACCAAACAACCGGGCAATGGCGGGCACACACCTTTAATCCTAGCACTTGGGAGGCAGAGACAGGAGGATCACTGAGTTCGAGGTCAGCTTGGTCTACACAGAATAAGTACCAGGATAGCCAGGGCTACAAAGAAACCCTCTCTTGAAAAACAAACAAGCAAACAAAATCTCAAGGGCCTGGAGTTTAGCCCAATTCTTACACTGAAACTTCCTCCAAAGACCCTGGGAGTATCTGTGTGGAGTTATCTCCTGCTGGACCTCTAGCATCATCCCCTGAAGCTTGGGGTGGAGGGCTCTGGCTGGCCTCTGATGTGGTATGGGACTGCCCTGAAGCAGTATTGACTCCCAGCCAGGACACCTTCCCTCAGCAGAGACAGTGAAAACCCAGCAGCAGCAGGGCAAGGGTAGTGACATCCAGTAGCAGCTCCAGCACAGACAGGATAGATGAGCCGAACCACAGTCTCCAGAGGCTGCTCATGGCACAACAGCTGTGGAACCTGTAGGTAGACAGGCAATAGGTCCAGTAGGGCCTCTTGTACCCCACCTGTGTACAGGACTGTGGGGGTCTGCCTTTACCCAGCCATCTCAGAAAAGGGAGAGTAGTTAGCCATAGGCTCTATTTCCAACACTTAGCCCAGCATCTCTCTAACCACTCCTCAGAGTATACTGTTGCCTCATCCACAATATGGTAATTAAACTCCTGATTTAGAATTTTCATCTTGGACACATTGCTTCTAGGGTAGGGACAGAAGTATAAGGGGGTTGGCAGAGGAGAGACAGGATGTGTCCCTGGGGGTGTACCCACCTCTGGCTCCTGCTCCAGCTTGAGCTCCATGGGTTTTACTTTCTAAGTATAGCCACGATCCAGTCTTGCACAGAGGCTTGCATGGTCACACTCTCCCTACCCCAATAGTACAGTGGGATGTGAGGAGCACCACTTCCACCTGCTCTGTGAGACTCACAGTAGACTTGGCTGAAGGCTACCTGGAGGTCCCTGCAAAGAATTTGTACAAAGACACCCTGGGAGAGACAGGACCACCAGTCATCCTGTAGTGCTCTCTGGGGGAACTGATGCCTGACTCCCAACCCTATTGTCCCCTCTTGCTTGCAAGGGCTGGGGCAGTAGGAAAGACAAGAAAGCTGGTGGGTTTCCAGGTCCTGGTAGAATCGGTAGAAGCCGTGACCTGACGAGTTGTGGAGAAGGCCCATTAGGAGTGACTGCCTTAGAGACCCCCAGCAATCCCAAAGGAGATGACAGGCTCACCCTCAGGCTGGATGTCATTTGTGACTGCAGAACTGGGCTCCAGCTGGAGCAGATTTCCACCATAAGCTGCTAGAAGCAGGACACCAGGCATACCTGAAGAGACAGCAAGGACTTAAGCTGCGAGTCCTGCCTACACATGGTTGGTGTTTGGGGTGTTATACAGCAGTCCTATATCCATGCCCTTAGCACCATCAATGTAGAGGCCATCCATAGGGACTTCCAAGTGAAGGCACCTTGTCTTGGGGAAAAGGAATTTCAATTCTGCTCACTGCAACTTGAGGCCCTGCCCTACCTCAGTGCCTGGGTTGGACAAGAAGCCCAATAGCCCTGCTTACTTCTAGAATTCCAATGGTATTCTGAGTCCTTGGTCAGAAGCTAAAGCCACTGTTTTCTAGAATGGTGTGTGGTCATACCTATGAACCATGACCTTGAGTCCAGCCTCCAAGGACAAAAGAGGGAGATGATCTTGCCTTTTAGCCCTGAGGACTAGGCTGATCCCTGGGGAAGCCAAGGAAGAAATGTTGAGGCTACCTGCCCAACCCACTTTATATTCATGTCCAGATGCCTGCTGAGGGTTAGCCCTCGCCATTGGCGATGCCAGGACTCTGTGAACCCAGACACCCTTAAAGGTATAGCAGTTACCATAGGTCCTATGGTGGAACTTCTGGATGTGCCAGAAACCCAAGGCCATGTTTAGATACTTGTCACCTTCTACCCTGTCATGTATGCCTTGAGGGGGCACAGCCTATCTATTGTGCAGGGAGTTGTTTGTAGCCAGCCTTGGGCAACTAACTCCTGGCTTTTTACCGGATGAACCCCAGGATAAAACCACTTTGCTGGTGGGATAAAGGGGAGCAGCCCACCAGTCCTACCCTGCTTACCCCTCACTGTCATAGTGACAGGACAAGACAAAGTAGTCACCAGGACTTTGGTGACTGTCCTCCCAGGCAGTGAGGAGTAGGGCCAAGATGACCAAGTAGTGGAAGCGATATCATTCCTGAGCAGCTGGCACAGCTGACGGGTAGGCACAATAGAAGCAGTTGCCACCAATACTGTTATGCTGAGAGGACACAGGGTCAGGTCAGGCACAGCCCATTATCTCTCCCTGCTAGAAAAGCCTTCTGAAGCACAGCAGCACACAAGTACCCTCACCTCCTTGAGTCCCAGAACTTGCTGGTCTAAAGCCCATTTTGGATGTCCAGATGACTCAAATGGTGCAAATGAATCCCATGATCCAGCTAGAAGTGGATTTATGGCTGGGGATTTCATAAAAGGGGGTGTCCCAGCCTTCAATAAATTTGAACTTGTAGAGAGCATAGACGCTCTCCCAGGAAAATGCATCAAGTGCTTCCAGATGTTGGTGCATGACATTTGGCCTGGAGGCAGGGTCAGTATTCCTGGGTAGATCATTATAGGGTTCCCTATGACACGGAACAGGGTGATCCAGCACTATGTGACTTCAGCATCCCTGTGTGTCCAGCAACGACAGTAGTCCGTCCCCCTTCTCAACCCCAGAGAGAAGCGTTTTTAGGAGCTGGGCCTGCCCACTCTCATAACTTCAGAGTTGAGGTCAAGTCCCTAGCCTGGCCATTTCCAGGGCTGCATGCCCTTCTGGCAGGCTCATATCCACTCCTTACCTGGAATTCTACTTGATCCTTCCTCCTGAGGTGCCCTATCATTGCAACCCATCTCAGACTGACCCATAAAGTTCCCTTTCACCTCAACCATGGGCTCCTAGTAATGTCTGTTGTTCCTTTAGCAGTGCCACTGAGATCTGAGAAGTCCTGACTAGGTACAGGGATTAGGAGAAATTAAATCATGAGGTATCATCTGAGACCAAACCCAGGGAGACATTTCAGGCTGAAATAAATGTTGGGGAGCCCATACCTAAGGCTGACAACACCCAGACCCTCACCTATGTGCATTCATGTCACATAGAGTGACAGATGGGAAGAGTTTACACTCATGCATGGACACTGCCATGGTGACTGAGTAGTTCCAGTACCACTTTAATAGAAGCACAAGCTGCCAGTAGAGCACCCCCAGGGCACTCAGGAGCAGCATCCCCCAGGATGCTGCCTTAATTAGGTTTTGTCAGGAACAGACAAGGCAGATAGATAGTACTGTGGGTGGTGGCATTGGCACAGAAGCAAATGAAGAAGTACAGATCTTGAGAGCCATGGGGCAGATAAATGCAGATTTCAGAGGCCCTATACATGGCAGGAGCTGCAATGCTAGCACTTAGAATGCATGTGAAGTCATGTACATCTGCATATACCTATGTGTGCTCATACACACTGGGAGGCATGCCCAGTGTGTACCAAGCTCTCAGTCAACAAGTGCCACAGATCAGAAAAGAAGCCAGAACCCTGTTCCATGTTAGCTGTGTGTTTGTGTGTAAAAGATTGGACCTTGCTGACCTCTTTCTTGCCTGGTTCCATGTATTTATGGTGTGGTCAATATGCACAATTCACTTCGTGGTATGTTGCACCTGAACACACAGTGGTGCGAAATACTCTGGGGGCCACCCCACACACTGTCTGGAATGTTTTTCTGAGGTTCAATCCAACATGTACAACAAGCAGGAGAGACTTGTTCCCTTCTCAGTCTAGCAGATCTAAAAAATGACCTGCCCTGATTGTCATGAATGATCACCATTCAACCTCAGGAGCCAGCACAGAGAGCAGAGCCCATGGCAAGCACCCCTTAGTATCTTGAAGGTGGGCTCTTGTTCAAATGCCTCCATTCTTTCTCTGAGAGTGTGGTGGGCAGCTGAAATGGTGACAGCTCCAGCAAGTCATAGAACAGGAGGTGGCCTGAGGCTGGCTGTAAAGCCTTTTCTTTATTAGCAGGCCACTGGGAGTGTGCAGGGTGGCAGGGGAGTGGCTCAGTTGAGGGGTTGGTAGTCACACTTGCTCTGAGAATGGACGGGGAATTCTTGGGGAGACAGAGATGTAGGGTCCCTTTGCCAATTGAGCCTTTCTCAACTTGAGCCTAGCAGAAGAGACTTGGGCGCCTTACCCTAGTTTTGGTGATAGGGTAGCAGGTTTTGGAGGGGAAAGGGATCTGCTTTGGGCCAGGACCCACTTGGCTACCTCATGAGCCACACTGACTCCTGGAGCTCAGAGTTGGGTTCCCACCAGGCTAGAAGGGATTTCTGTTTGCTACCATCTCCTTGGCTCTTATCTCCAACACTGATTGCAAGTGTTTGTAGCTAAGAGACATTGGGTGGGGTCCACCACTCTCAGAACACAGGTGTTCCTTGAGACCAGGCACATAGCTGTTGGGATGGGCATTAATTGTCGAAACAACCTGTAGCTTGAGTGTGCAGATGGTAACAGATGCCCTGAGTGGTGGGGATTCACCTTCTCTACTGCTTCAACCATACTACCTACTGGAACATGCTAAAACACACATGAAAGCCACACATACACTAAGACTCTAATCCACACTCAGAGACCAAATCACATAGTAGGCATGTGAAAATAAAGGCAGGCTAGCCAGATGCCACAACACTAGGAGCTTTAACTGTTCCTGTCTCTTCTGGGGTACCTTGCATGTCTCAGGATGACCCAATGGTCATACTGTACCCCTCAGCCTGGTTTGTGGGGTGAGCACAAGCCTTAGCATCCCTTACTCAGAACAGATTCTGCCTTCCTGACCAATCAATTCTAAAGACTTGGGTTAGACTGAAGGAGAAAGTGCCCACTACCATTGTATCCAACTGAATTTTGACTGCCAAAAGGGGTGAGGTCATGAGCCTTTTGGTTCTGGAAGCAGGCAGCAGCCACTGATGACATCCCAGGAGATGGAAATCATGCTGAGGAAAAGCAGCCCAGGACTTAGCTGGTCAGTTGGGAACCACAGCTTGTCACTCACCAATTTTGTAGTCTTGCTCAAATTATTCAACCTCTTTGAGCCCATTTTTTTTAAAAGATTTATTTATTTATTATGTATACAGTGTTCTGCCTGCATGTGTCCCTGCAGGCCAGAAGAGGAAGCCAGATCTCATTACAGATGGTTGTGAGTCACCATGTGGTTGCTGAGAATTGAACTCAGGACCTCTGGAAGAACAGCCAGTGTTCTTAACCTCTGAGCCATCTCTCCAGCCCAAGAGCCCATTTTCTTAAGTGTAAAATATGGCTAAGGCATTTCTTTTAGCTCAAGGTTCAAAAGTGGTACTAGTTAATAAGGCTGGTGAGGGACTCCCAGACTCAGCATATGCCCTGCAGTGTCTTTCCACATCTAAGCAGTGTTCCTTTGGGGGAATGTGAATAGACTTGCTATGTGACATTCAGCAGCAGAAGAGGAAGAGCCTGGGCTATGTTGTCTGAACTAGAGCAACTCATATCTCCCAGTATTGCTGGGGCTGGAAAAAGGAAGAAAGGAAGGTAGATAGACAGACAGGGAGGGAGGGAGGGAGAAAGGAAGGAAGGAAGGAAGGAAGGAAGGAAGAAAGGAAGGAAGGAAGGAAGGGAGAAAGAAGGAACACTGGCCTCTAATTCAGCCCTTTTCCTAGAAAAGCCTGAAGGGACAACTAAGATTCAGGGAAGGCACAATGAGGGTCAGCTTCATGGTTTACATTTGATTTGGGCCTCAGAGTATCTGTCTTCTCCTTCTTCCTGGCCTGTCCTACACTTGCTTCCCCAGGTGCTCCTGGTTCTGTGAAGGGGAGGCAGGCTGGGATAGCATAAGGATGTCCTCTATTATTGATCTACAAGTGACCCCTGTGGTCACTATTCACTAACTACATATTGAAAGATATGGAAAGAGGTTGGAGAGATGACTCAGCTGATTAAGAGCACTAGCTACTCTTTCAGAGGACCCAGCAACCACACAGTGGCTCACAACCATTTGTAGCTCTAGTTCCAGGGTGATCCAATGCCTTTTTCTGGACTCCATGGGCACAAGCCATGCACATGGTGCACAGACATTCAAATATATGGGTGTTTCAGGTAAAACATATACATGTTTGAGGGAGGGAGAGAAAAGAGAGATAGAGGGACACACACACACACACACACGGCGGGGGGGGGGGAGAGAGAGAGAGAGAGAGAGAGAGAGAGAGAGAGAGAGAGAGAGAGAGAATGAACAAATAGATGTTCCTGGACCTTCCTAGTGTAGGCCTTCTGCTCTCCCAGAAAGGACACTGGAGTACTTACTTCCATCCTGAGCCTTATAAGTATCTATTCCCAAGAGTAACCAGGAACCAGGAGCAGGTACTGTCTACTCCCAGGACAAGGCTACCTTAGGGACTACAGGTACTTGGTGTTTCAAAGGACTCCAGGCTCAGTTTTTCTCCTGGGGTTCTTCATACTTGAGTGCAACTCAGAGTGCACCCTGTGAGAGTCTTATGGGATTCATTTGAAACACACAAGATAATTTTTTAAAAAAAGACTTATTTATTTATTATGCATACAGTGTTCTGTCTGCATGCATGCCTGCACTGCAGGCCAGAAGAGGCCACCAGATCTCTTTATAGATGGTTGTGTGCCTCCATGTAGTTACTGGGAATTGAACTCACCAGGAATTGAACTCAGGACCTCTGGAAGAGCAGCCAGTGCTCTTAACTTCTGAGCCATCTCTCCAGCCCACAAGATTCTTAGTATGGGGAGACTGAAGTATCCTCTCTGGGCTAAGGGCTGGCTTATCTGAGGTTTCTGGACCTAGACTGGTGAGGGATCTCTTCGGTGTTTCTGCGGAGAGACCATGCATTGACTGCACTAGCCAGGCAGGATCTTGGGTCACCACAGAACAGGTACCAAGGTGCCTCATACTCTGACATGGGGATACATCTGCTAGTCTGGTACTTCCTGATGGGAGTCAGGGAGATAGGTGAGGATGTTTTTCCTGGGTCACCTCCAGCCCTTTGGGACCCTCCCTCAAGCTCTGGCCAGACTGACTCTACTGGAGGCCTTGTGGTCTACCCTGAAGGAAGCTTTTTGTTTTTCTTATAATTTATTTTTAAACTTATGAGTCAGATATGGCAGAGTGTAGCAGGCTTTCTTGGACCACCAGCCTCCAAATCATGACAGGGAGACTTATTATTAATTATGAAAGCTCAGCCTTAGTTTAGGCTTGACCTACTAGCTCTTATAATTTAATTGAACCTGTTTCTATTCATCTGCGTTTTGCCTCAGAGCTTTTTACCTTCCTTTCAATCTGTATGTCCTACTTTCCTGTTTCCTCTGTGTCTGTCTGGCCCTGGGCATCTCCCTTGTTCTCTCTTCTTATTGAGCCAGATTCCTCCTCCTACTTATTCTTTCTGCCTGCCAGCCCCACCTATCCCTCTACTGCCTAAGCTAGTGGCCATTCAGCTTTTTATTAGACCACTCAGGTGCCTTAAGCAGGCAAGATAAAACAAATGCAACACACCTTTACATAGTTAAACAAATGCAGCATAAACACATGTACACTTCTTTAAATAGTTAAAGTAATATTCCACAACATAAACAAATGTAACACATCTTTACATAGTTAAAGCAATATTCCACAACAGCAGGGAACAGTTTTATTCCCAGGACATGGAAGGCAGAGCCAAGGAAGGGTGAATCTCTGAGTTCAAAGCCAGCCTGATCTACACAGTGCATTCCAGGTCAGCCAGGGCTACATAGTGAGACCCTGGTCAAAAATAAATAAATTAATCAAAATAAATTTTATATGAGTTTGTGTGAGCATATGCCACATGTGTGTTGATACCCACAGAGACCAGAAGAGGGTGTCAGATTCTCTAGAGCTGGGGTTCCAGTTCAGCCCTCTTACATGTATTTTTAAAAAATTATATTTATCAGGGCTGCAGCAATGGCTCAGTGGTTAAAAGCACTTGCTGCATTTCCAGAGTACCCAGGTTTTGGTCTTAGCACCACAAAAGGTAGCTTACAACCATTTGTAATTCCAGCTCCAAGGAATCTAATGCCTCTGGCCTCTGTGGGTGCCTACACTCATGTGCACATACCCACATGAGAACAGACACAATTAAAAATAAATATTTGGTAAAAATTTACATGTATTTATGTGTGTGTGTAGGTGTGTGTGCCACAGTATGTTGCAATCAGAGGACAACTTGCAGGAGTCAAAATTCTCCTTCTACCATGTGTGTCGCGGCCATCAGGCTTGGTGGCATGTGCCTTTATCCAGTAAGCCATCTTGCTGGCTCTTGGAGAGTGCTGTTTTGTTTTTTTGAGACACAGTTCTCTGTGTAACAGCCCTACTTGTCCTGGAATTCACTTTGTAGACCAGGCTGGCCTCGAACTCACTGAGATCTGTCTGTTTCTGCCTCCCAAGTGCTGGGATTAAAGGTGTTTGCCACCATGCTGGTTTTTGGTTTTGTTTTGAATTCCAGACTTTTTTGGTCTTCTGGAAGCTGTTACAACATTAAGGAGAGTACCCAAAATGCTGAGTAGTGATCAGCTATTTTTTCCTATAACTCAGCTTCCCCCCTCCATAAAACTGGAGGTATATCCTGGAGGCAAACCCTAAGCTCTCCCATTGCAGAAAGATGGCTCCTATCCTTAGGGGTTTGGTTCTGGAGTTCAAGAAGGTTCCAGTCACCCCCTCCTGCTAGTAGGTCATCCACCAGCTTTATAGAGAGAGACCTGAGTCCTATTGCCCAGAAAGTTGAAGGTGTGTCTGGTGAGGTGAGGTCTCTGGTTCTGGCAGAACCTGCTGGCTACTTCTGTCCCCCTATATCCCAATATCTTGTCCCTTCAGGTATAAGTCAGGTGTGCTTAGGATTTGGGGGGCTCTGAGTTGGGCTCTCTCTGCAGCCTCACCATCATGATAGTTCAGGTATTCATGCTACACTGGTAGGTATGTTAGTGCTTAATTTTATACAAGGACAAGCAGGTCGGAGAATGGCTATGGCCCAAGATCTGGCTGTTGTTTGCATTCATATTGTCTTAGGGTTACTATTACTGCAATGAAACACCATGAAAAAAAAGGCAATTTGGTGAGGAAAAGGTGTGTTAGTTAGGGTTTCTATTGCTGTGATGAGACACCATGATCATGCGCAGGCAGACATGGTGCTGGAGAAGGAGCCAAGAGTTCTACATCTGGATTGGCAGGTAGCACGGAGAGAGAAACACTGGGCCTGGCTTGAACATTTGAAAACCCAAAGTTCACCCTCAGTGACACACTTCCTTCAACAAAGCCACATCTACCCCAACAAAGACATACCTATTAGTGCCACTCCCTAATGACCAATCATTCAAATATATGAGCCCATGGGGTCATTCCTATTCAAACCACCACAAAAGGATTTATTTGACATACACTTCTACATCACTGTTCATCATTGAAGGAAGTCAGAGCAGGAACTCAAGCAGGACAGGAACCTGGAGGCAGGAGCTGATGCAGAGGCCACAGAGGACTGCTGCTTACTGATTTGCTCCTTATGGCTTGTTCAGCCTGCTTTGTTTGTTGAGACAAGGTTTCTCTGTGTAACCCTGGCTGTCCTGGACCTCACTCTGTAGACCAGGCTGGCCTGGAACTCAGATCTACCTGCCTCTGCCTCCTGAGTGCCTGGGATTAAAGGCAAACATCACCCTGCCCAGCATCAGCTTGCTTTCTTATAGAACCCAGGACCACCAGTCCAGGGGTGACCCCACCCACAATGGCCTAGGCCCTCCTGCATCAGTCACAAATTAAGAAAATGCCCTACAGCCCAATCTTACAGATGCATTTTCTTTTTTTTTTCTTTTGGTTTTTCTAGACAGGGTTTCTCTGTGTAGCTTTGCGCCTTTCCTGGAACTCACTCGGTAGCCCAGGCTGGCCTTGAACTCACAGAGATCCGCCTGGCTCTGCCTCCCAAGTGCTGGGATTAAAGGCGTGCACCACCACCTCCCGGCCAGATGCATTTTCTTAATTGAGGTTCTCTCCTCTCAGATGATTCTAGCTTGTGTCAAATTGACATAAAACTAGCCAGCAAGGTATGTTCCAGAGAGCCCATGATTATTTTTCTATGCAGAATGGCCTCTTTTCTAACTTTGCATCCTTTAAAAGTGGCTTAATTTGGGTTGGGGATTTAGCTCAGTGGTAGAGCGCTTGCTAGCAAGAACAAGGCCCTGGGTTTGGCCCTCAGCTCTGGAACAACAACAACAAAAAATGCAAAATAACAAAGGCAACTTAATTTACCTTGATTAGGGACCATAGAGCTCTGGGGAAGGAGGCAAAGGGTCTCTCTGATGTGTTTTCTGAGTTTGTCAGTGAGAGAAGCCACTGGTCTTCCAGGGCTAACTTGCCATGGTGGGCTGACAGACAGGACACTCCCCAGGGCTCAGGGCCTTGCCCTGCTGCAGCAGGCCAGATCACAACTAAGGTGAGTGGGCTCATCCACCACCTGCCCTGTGAATCAATGGCCACTGCTGGACTCACAGTGCTGTGTAACACAAACTGCTAAATGGTTTTAATAAAAAACCTGGAGCCAGATATTGGGGTGAAAGCTGAAAGATCAGAGGAATAGAACAAGCCAGCCACAAGCTCTTACTGTTAGGAAAACCCTCAGCCCAAGAGAGCTACTTCCTGTATACTCAGGCTTTATATACCTTTCTGTGCCCTGCTATCTTACTTCCTCTCTCTGCCCAGCTACATCGCTTCCTTTTTCCGCCCATCTCTATCACTTCCTGTATGTCTGTACAGACCTCCAGACCTCTATGGTAAAATAGTGTTAGGATTAAAGGAGTGTGCTACTACTGCCTGACCTCTATGTCTAATCTAGTAGTGGCTGGCTCTGTCCTCTGATCCCTAGATATTTATTTATATATATAAACATATGCTTATATATATAATATATATTTAGTACCCGAATATATTGTTTACTAATATATTGGGGTACACATATCACCACAGTGCTGAGTCTCAGCCATCAATTGTCAACGATCAGTTAGTGAGCCCACTGTTTATGCTCAGAGGCAGTCAGGGTCATGGTGAAGGATGAGAACTTTAAGTTGAACAGCAATTCTGCCCTACATTATCTGGTTGGCTAGGCACTGCCAATGACAGCCTCTGCTTGGTAGCCCAAACTTGCATCCCTGGAGCAGCCTGAGGACATCCCAAGCACCACTTGGTCCAGTCTTCAGCTACTTCTCATGTGACCAAAGAGGATGTGAGATTATCCAGGTCCTTTTGTCCAGATCCCAGCCCTACTTTGCCCTGCAAGGTGGAGTCCCAACACTCGCCACATCCAGCTTGGTTTCCTGGAACCTACATACACTGAGTTCACAAGCAAATGAAAGGGGAAGGTGCTGGGTCAAGGGCATGGGATGTGTGTGACATATATGTCACCAACATGAGAACAAATTTGAGCATCCCAGGAATGCAAAGGTAAGGCAGGAATGTGAGCATGAGGGTCTGGGGAAGTCTGGACATCTATCAGTCTCTCTGCCCAGCTTTTCCAGCTGTCAGGGCCCAAACTAGTACTCAGAACATCCCCACTAGCAGCCAGATGGCCTGGCCAAGTGACCAAGATGTGACACTTCCCCTCTCCAAGGCCAGGAAGGAGGCCATGGAAGAGGAAAACCCGTCTTAGAGAAATGTCCTCGAGCATAATGACAGTATTCATGAACTGGATCGAAAGCTTGGTACAAAAAACACAGAAACTATTTTTATGAGGACCTCTGTCCTCAGGGCTGGGAGGCTGTCATAGGGTTGGCTATGCCTATGCCTATCAGTTGCGCTGTACACAGGGGTCTTCATGGCTAGAGGGGCAGCGAGGGCAGGCTAGATGACCTCTAGGCCAAGAATCCTCGCGTTAAGAGCAGACGAATGGATCCTGGGCCAGAAGGTGGCCGTAGGCAGTCTCAGATCGTGGTGAACTCACGGGTCATCTTTTCTCTGGACCTGGCGTCCCAGACTGGCCCGAGATATGGGGGGCGGGGGCACTGAGGGATGCCTGTAGCCACTTATTGTTCCTGGGGTGCGGGTCAGGCAGTATCCTGTCCCGCGAGCCTCCTGGAGGAGTCAAGCTACTCGCTCCCCGCCCCTCCCCCGAGCTCTTCTCCAGTGCGCACGCGCCAGCAACCCTTTACGCAGCGGTGGGACGTAATTACTCCAAGACAGTTAAGATACCCGGGACACCCAGGAACGGATAGTAGAGCCCTCCACCAAGCTGCCTAGAGAAGTGCTTCCCCTGGCAAACAGCGCACCGGAAGCGGAAGCGGCGCCTAGGCCACCCCTCGAGCGGCCATCTTGGAAGCTGAGCGGCGGTAGCAGCGGAGACGCTGCGGCGGGTGCGGTGGGCTAAGTCCCAGCGCGGGTGCGGCTCACAGAACGGGCCTCACTCTTTCGCACCCTGCTCTGGCCTCGACCACGGCGAACCTGAACGCGGCGGCGGCCTCAGGGAGAGGTGAGCGCTCGCGGGCTGCGCGGGCCCTCCGGCCGCTCGTTCGCCCCGCCGGAGCCGGCCAGAGCGGCGGGCGGGGACTCGGGGGACTCCGCACGTCCAGTCCAGTTCGTTACGTCGCCTGCTGTGCTCCGACCCGGAGCGTCCCTTTGCGGACCCGAGGTCGGTTACCGAGGGCGCTTGGGGTTCCTGGCTGGGGTTGGTCCTTTGGGCAGGTTAGAGATTTGGTTTGCCACGCGGCAGAATCTCTCACGAAGAGGCCTGTTGGTTGGTGCACTTGAAATACTTCCAGGAGTAGCCAGGGTTGATCTTTATAAACGTATCTGGTGAGTTTGTTTTGTGGGGTGGCAGCCGTTGAGTGCTCCCTCTTATCTTGGACAGTTAGAACCTCAGACTACTTAATAAACCCCAACAGAAACGAGCGTGTCCACCGTTATGCCCTTGGAGGTAACAGAACACTTGAAAGTAAGAGTGGGACTTGGACCCTGAACAAGACCCTGCCCTATGCGGGGGGGCGGGATGAATACGGTGGGGACTTACTCTCTACTTTTTACTAACTACAGATCCTCAGCCAATGACTTCACCTCCTTTTCAGTGTACCTCACTTAGTAGGTAACACAGGTCAGATTCCCAACGTTTTGTCAGATCCAGATAGACAACTTTGAAGAGATAAAGCCACGGTCCATTGTAAGCTAACAAGTGCATAAAACAGCCTTTTTGTAAGCAGTGGTACAAGGCTTTATTCATTCCAGGTGTGTGAAATGGTAATTTAGCTTCGGGGGGGGGGGGGGAGGAATTTTAGGATTTTATTTAATTGGAAAGTTCTGTGTATGATCTTCAGCCAGAGCTAGGTCTAGGTGCTGGAACTTGGACTCGATAGTCTGCACATCATGGTGTTCCTGAACTCAGTGTCAGCCCCGTTCTCAGGTGTGTGTGAGAAAGTGGCGGTTGGGCTGCTTCTATGAGCCTCTGGCTTTCATCCAGCCAGTGAAGTAATCCTGGAGAAGGTAGAACTCCCTGAAAATCCTGGCCTTGGGTGTGTCATGTACCCTTTTGATCACTCAGGCCAAGGTTTTATTCCACACCATCACCTGACTGACTGTACTGGTACGGGAGAGAGATGTCCAGAAGAAAAGGAACTGCCACCTTGGCACAGTGATGTGGGACAGAAAAGACTTACTCTGCTAGAGACTGGCTGCTTCTTGTCACCTGCAGTCCTCCAGGAGAATCATGAAAGAAAGTGCTGTTCTGAGTGAGGTAAAGGAGGATCAGTTAGGGCAACTGAGTAGTTGAATCTTAATTATGATTTTTATGTCTAAAAGTAAGTTTGAGGTTGGGCATTCGCTTAGTGATAGAATACTTGCCTACCATGTGTGAGGCTCTGGGTTCAATTTCCAGTGCTGAAAGGAAAAAAAAAGTTAAAGTGGCACATTCCATTAATATCAGCACTTGTGGAGCAGAGGCAGGAGGATCTTTGAGTTTGAGACCACTCTAGTCTATGGTGAATTCCAGGACAGCCAAAGCTATGAAGTGAGACCTTGTCTCAAAAAAAAAAAAAAAAAAAAAAAATTAAAAGCAAATATGAGAGGGACCTTTGATTAGACAAGGTCGGTTGTTTTTTTGTTTTTTTTTTTTTTCTTTCTTGAGATAGGGTATCTCTTTGTAGCCCTGGCTCTCCTGGACCTCACTCTGTAGACCAGGCTGGCCTTGAACTTACAGAGATCTGCCTGTCTGTGCCTCCCAAGTGCCAGGGTTAAAGATGTGTGCCACCACACCTGTCCGTCTATCCATCCTTCCTTCCTTCCTTTTTTTTTCCAAGACAGGACCTCATGTATTCCAAGCTATATAGCCTAGGATGACTTTGAACTTATGATTCTTTGCCTCTACCTGTTCAGTTTTGGGAGTACAGGTATGCACCACCATGCTCTGTTTATGTGGTGCCAAGAATCAAAGGGCTTCCTGCATGCTAGGCAAGCACTAACCAACTGAGTTACATTTATAGCCTGGCACAACTACCTTGCTAGTTTACTGTTGTGTGTCCACTAACTTTGATTATGCATCCTGTCTGGTCACTTAGCTGAATCCAAATATAGTTGTGTTGGGATTACCACTGAAATTATTTTGTACATGTTGGAGTGTTAACTTCAAGGGTGAACATAAGAGAAAGAATCTTGTGGTTCTGCTTGTGGATCATTGGCTATTGCTTTGTTTCTTACTAGGTGCTGGGCAAGTTGAGCTCTCTGGCCCACATGGCTTCTGAAGCCAAGAACTTGGGGACAATGCTTTCTGGAAGCATTTCTTGGCCATGCTGGACTGTAACCATGTTCCTGGTGTGAACATTCTTGGAAGCATCAGGCAAAAGCCCTTGATTCTGCCAGAAAGGTTCTTGTGCACTATATCTTAGACCATGGGGGTGGTGATGATGATGATGGTGGTGGTGGTGGTGGTGGTGGTGGTGGTGGTGATGGTGGTGGTGGTGTGGTTGTGAAGAACAGAAAAGGAAGCATTTGATTAGGGAAGTCAGGGAGGACCCTGATGGATGTAGCTCAGATTAGTTAGGGAAGGATGTAGGTGTATTTTCTACCAGTCCAAACTGGGCTGGGAAGATTGGGTTTTACTAGGTGCTATGAGAACTACGTCTAGATGGGTTGTTTGAAGAGTTTGGCGGATAAAGAAGCTGTTGCCATTTATCTGCTGTCTTTGGTGGGGAGTGGATGGTTAAACTGCATTGATTTAGTGCACAAGATGAAGTGTAAAGAGATTTGAGGTTCTTGTGGTTGACAGGAAAGTAATGTGTTCCTGCATTATGGTTATTGGGACTAGAAGGAAGTGAACAAGTAATGCATGGATTAGGGTTCATCCCCCATTTCCCCAATTGAGAAGCCACATGGGCACTTTGACTGATACTGTGCACATGAGAGGATTGTGGTGGATACCCTGGCTGAGCTATCCCCTCTGTAGGCCCTGAGGGTACAGAGTAAGTCCATACCACACCTTGGTTGTCATGAGGTATCAATATCCTGGTAGAGGAGGCAGATGCAGAGGTCTGTGGTGATGATGTCTACCAAGAAATTAGGCCAAATGGTTGAAAGTTGTTGACTGTCAAATAATATGTATAAGCAAATATTGAAGAGTGAAAAAACATGTGGCTCTCTGCTGGGAATAATTCATACAAAGGACAGGATAGGGTTGACTTTAGGTTTCTCTAGTTTGGGAGGTCAAGATGGGGAATCACAGCTATTATTGATGTTCGCTGATGTCTAGAGTTATGGTTAAAGTGACCAGATAGCACTGTGTGAGACAGGTTAGGGATAGAGTGGCCAAGTGAGAGTGGTGGGAAGAAAAGGAGGAGGCTGCAATGGGCAAATCTGGGTTTTCAGTACCACACGATATGGCCATCTGTAACTGCCCATGTCCAACCTGCTCTGTTATAGTCAAGTTCATCTCCTCTGCTTTTTTCATTTAAACTTAAATATATTTTCATTTTTGGTACTGGGGAGGTGTGTGCCATAGCATGTGTGTAGAGGTCAGAGAACAGCTTGTGGTAGTCTTTCCTGTCATATAGGTCCTGGGAATTGAATTCAGGTCATCAGACTTGGCAACAAGTATCTTTATCCACTGAACCATCTCACCAGCCTACTATCTCCTCTAATTTGTATATCCCTAAGTGGCCCCTCAATTGTATTTTAGACTAGTAGTATTCACACTTTTTTTTTAGTTGTAGAATTTTTTTGTGTTTCTGTCTTAAATCATGAGAAAAGAGAACAAAGAGGAGCTCTTCTGACATCTGTGGCAGAGGGAACCCTATTCCCTCCATCACTGCCTCCTCCTTTTGGAGTATAGCTAATGGGTCTGAGTCCCTGATTCAGTTCTTTCTCTTTTTTGAGACAGAGTCTCACTATGTAGACTGGGCTGGCCTCAACTCAGAGATTTGACTGCCTCTGCCTTCCAAATGCTGTGATTAAAGATGTGTACCACCACATCCAGCTGGTCTCTTCTCTTTTAAAAGTTTTTTTTTTTTTTTAAATAATATATTTTTTTATGTGCTTTGGTGTGAAGATGTCAGATCCCCTGGAACTGGAGTTATAGACAGTTGTGAACTGCCATGTGGGAATTGAACCCGGGTCCTCTGGAAGAGCAGCCAGTGCTCTTCACCGCTGAGCCATCTCTCCAGTCCTCTTTAAAAGTTTATATATATATATATATATATTTATTGTTTGTGGATGCATGCATGTTTGTGCATGTCTGTGGGCTTGTGTGTGAATGTCAGAGGACAACTTAAAGTAGATAGTTCTTTCCCTTTCACTATCTGGATTGTGAGGATCAAACTTCTTTCATCAGTCTTGTCTGGCAAGCACTTTTACCTGCTCACCAAGACATCTCAAAAGCCCTAGTTCTTTCTTTTTAGCATTGTCATGGTCTTACTCCCTGTATGTATCCTTTACTGCTGCCTTATGTTGAGGCCCCAGAGTGACCTTCCTCATAGAAGGTCCTATTGCTGTGAAGAGACACCATAACCATGGCAACTCTTATAAAGGAAAACATTTAATTGGGGCTAGGTTACAGTTTCAGAGGTTTAGTCCATTATCATCCTGGCAGGAAGCATGGCAGCATGTGGGCAGACGTGCTGGAGAAGGAGCTGAGAGTTCTACATCTTGATCCACAGGCAGCAGAAGTTAATGCCTCTCTAGGCCTAGCTTGAGCATCTGAGACTTTAAAGCCAGCCCCTACAATGATCCACTTCCTCCAGCAAGGCCACACTTGCTAATAGTGCCACTTGCAGTGGGCCTATGGGGGCCATTCTTACTTAGACCACCACATGTACTTTAAGACTGGGACCTATAACTCTTGGGATTCTGGAAGCTTGACTTTGTCTCTCTGGCTAGTCTTGTTCTTTGTCCTTCACTGTGTTTGAGCTCCTGCCTGACATGGTGACCAATGTGCTCCCCTAAACATGCCTTCTCCTCTGCCTAGTACATGCATCTAGATCTCTGAAAGTACCACATCATCTCTTTGCCCCTACTGCTGTTACTTGTGATCAGTGTCAAATGTGTAACAGGCTTCCAAGCCAGGAGAAGGCCTGTGGTACTCACTAATTTCCTCTTGTGAAATGTTCATTACCGAGGTGTTGCTGAACAGAGTTAAAGGACATGTAGAGCTGGTGTAGGCTGGTTTCAGCATACCTACCCAGATCCCACTTGAATGAATTAATCTGTAAATTCTTTGAGGACAGGAATGCAGCTTCATGGTTCTTTCTACCTTACATCGTGTTAGACACTTGGTATCATGTTGCATAAATGAAAGTGGTGATGGTGGTAGGGACATACAGAAAAAGAACTGAGGGATGGGCTTGATGGTTGGTGGGCTGCAGAAAGGAAAGCAGGGGTAGTCATCTGCTGAAGTTGTCTATAGTAAGGGAATGCATGTGTATGTTCTTCTGTTCTCTGTAAGTAGAGATGCTTTTTCTTTTTCTTTTTAAATAGATGAGCAATAACAGCAATAAGAGAGCTCCAACAACAGCAACACAAAGGTTGAAACAGGACTACCTTCGAATTAAGAAAGATCCGGTGCCTTACATCTGTGCAGAGCCCCTCCCTTCAAATATTCTTGAATGGTAAGATTCTGCATTCTTGCTCACTCTGCAGCATAGTAACTCTCTTGAAGGTCTGTAGTGGTCTAGCTGGTGGGCAGAGGCAGTAGTTAATTCCTCAGCTATGGATGGACACTGGAGATGCCTGTCAATATTGTGGGCTTTGCAATGAATGCCATGTCAAGAATATTAGGGAGTTCTGCTTGGCTTAGGCTAGGACTGAAAGGAAAAATCTTGGGTAGTCCTCATTGCGGGCTTTGGGTATACAAAGCTCTCAGATGTCGTTCATGTAAATTAGGGTTCGGCTGCATTTTGCTTCCTGATACTGGGAATTAGCTGTCTAGCCTGGGAGCATTGGTGGCAAAGTCTTGTCACTAACCCCTGACTCCGGCCTAGGCCAAGTGCTCATAAATCTCAAGCTGATAGAGCTTGTGGAAAATATTTGTTTCTTGGTAGTTCTTTTGCTGTGTTAAAAATGTAGAGTCCTGAAATTACATGTTCTCTGTGGAAATGCTCATTGCCAGCTTTGGTGAGCATTTCTCACTGGGTTTGGTATACACCTTTAATCCCAGCATTCAGGAAGCAGAGGCAGGTGGGCCTCTTGAGTTCCAGGCTAGCCTGTGTAGTGTGGACCAGTTTTTTTTTTTTTAAACATTTCTCTTGCTTTGGTGAATTTGATCTTTTAAAAAATACTTTGATGCCTAATGCCAGGTGTGGTGGCGCGTGCCTTTGATCCCAGCACTCGGGAGGCAGAGACAGGCCTGGGCTACAGAGCGAGTTCCAGGAGAGGCTCCAAAGCTACACAGAGAAAACCTGTCTCAAAAAACCAAAAAAAAAAAAAAAAAAAAAAGACTTGTTAGTACGAAAAGATAAAAAAAAAAAAAAAACAACAAAGGGAAGAGGTAGGTGGGGTGAAGTCTGCAGGAATGTAGAAAGAAGCATCTAGATTCCTGGTCTTGGGCATTTGTTCAAAGAACATTTAGCTCCCCCAGCAGTGAAATTGGACAGCACATGTGACATGTCACTGAAGAAACTCATTAGACACTTGTTGCCCAGGTTCTGTTTGAGTGGCCATTAGACACCTGTGCCTGCCACCCACTAAAACACCAATCTCCTAGGAGAGAAGGATTTAGCATGAGCCATGATGTGTATGTATGTCCCCTTTTTGCTTAGAGTGATGAGTATTGCCCCCAAACATCAATGCCAGGCCTTTTGTGAGAACTTTATAGTTTTAGAGAATTCATGGTCTACAGATCAAGTAATCTGCTTCTCTCTCTCAGGCATTATGTTGTCCGAGGCCCTGAGATGACTCCTTATGAAGGTGAGTAGGAAAAAAAAAAAAAAAAAGAATCATTCCTATCAATGTAAATAAAAGTCTTTCTGTTTTGGATATGTAGTAGTTAAATTAGATTTACCTGAATCTCATCCTAGTGTTTTTCTTAAGTCCTAGAAATGTTTGCTCATTTTGATATTTCTGGACTGTTTGTAATTACCATCTGCATTTCCCTGGCCTCTTATGTTGGCTAGAGGTGGGAAAAAGATTTTTTTTTTTAAATTTTATTTTATATGTATGGGTATTTGCTTGCCTATATGTTTGTGTACCATGTGTGTGCCTGGTGCCCACAGAAGTGAGGGGTGGGTCAGATCCTAGAGTTATAGATGATGGTGCTCTACCATGTGGTTGCTGGATCCTCTTGCAAGAACAGCAAGTACTCTTAACTGCTGAGCCATCTTTCCAGTCCAGGGGAAAACAAATTGGAATAAATAGTAAAACATTCTTCTGTTTCTAAGGCCGAAGGGAATGTTGTCAAAAAATTAGTGCAAGGTATTTTTTAATGTCTTCAGAATAGTTTCCAAGCTAAGTGGAGGCATGTGAGGGTTAGGAAGGATATAGGACCTAACAGGTTCTTATCTCTTTATTGCTTGCTAATGTTGACCTGGTGTCCTAATCCTTCAGGTAACCAGATGTTACTAGGGCCCTCAGTGATTGGACAAATTAGTCCATATTTCTAGGGTCCTATGGCAAGATTGACACCATCTCACAGGCAAGCCCAGGGCAGAGCACTGGCCAGGTGGGCGGTGCCTCTTCTTCTAGCCATCAGGCCTAACTTAAGACAACAAAAACAACAGGTCTTTGCCTATAGGTGGAAACCTTGTGGAACACTCCAGAGAGGAGGTTTTAGTGGTTCTGTGAGGCTCTGGGTTCCATCCTCAGCATAAACAAAAAGAAAAATATTGTTTGGGACATTTGTTTGAGAGCTTGGGTAGTTGAGAATGAAAAGGGCAAACTCTTTTGCAGGTAGTTTGGCTGATACTTCTTTAACAGGTTCTCCTTTGGCCCAGGAGTCCTAAGATTTGGGGTAATTCATTCTGGATAATGAGTCTGCAGGGGCTATGTGGGGAGATAAATGTGTGTACATGTCATAATGATGGTGTTTACAGTGCCAGGCACCAAAAACATGCCTAAGCCCTACAGCAGCAGGGTGTGGGTAAAATGAGGGAGGCATACAGGCTATGTGTCTTGAGGAGCCCTTGAAATTTCTTTTTGTCAGTCCCTAATAGATGTGAAAGATGGGCTTCCAAACAGTTGGTAAAAACAATATGAAAATACTTTGTGTGTTTGACATGCTTGAAAAACTATTTTGAGGCCGGGCGGTGGTGGCGCACGCCTTTAATCCCAGCACTCGGGAGGCAGAGCCAGGCGGATCTCTGTGAGTTCGAGGCCAGCCTGGGCTACCAAGTGAGTTCCAGGAAAGGCGCAAAGCTACACAGAGAAACCCTGTCTCGAAAAACCAAAAAAAAAAAAAAGAAAGAAAAAAGAAAAACTATTTTGAGTTTTGAAATTATTTTGTTTCTTGGTATTTCTTGGGTTTTGTTTTTAAATTTTATTTGTTTTTTTGAAACAGGGTTTCTCTGTAGCTTTGGAGCTTGTTCTAGAACTTGCTTTGTAGATCATACTGGCCTTAAACTCACAGAAATCTGCCTGCCTCTGCCTCCTGAGTGCTGGAATTAAAGGCACGTGCCACCACTGCCTGGCTATTGTTTTTAATTTTTAAGTGTGTGTGTGTGTGTGTGCGCGCGCGCGCGCGCGCGTGTATGCTGTGGAATAATCCTCTTATACACTGTAAAGATTTGTCATTTGAATTGGTTTAATAAAACGCTGATTGGCCAGTAGCCAGGCAGGAAGTATAGATGGGGCGACCAAACTAAGAATTCTGGAAAGGGAAAGGGCGGAGTGAGGAGTCACCAGCCAGATGCAGAGGAAGCAAGGTGAGAATGCTGTACTGAGAAAAGGTACCAAGCCACATGGCTAAACATAGATAAGAATTATAGGTTAATTTAAGTATGAGCTAGTTAGTAATAAGCTTGAGCTACTGGCCAAGCATTTGTAAGTAATATTAAGCCTCTGAATCAATTATTTGGGAAGCGGCTGCTGGGTATTTGGGAGTTGCTGGCAGGACAGAAACTTAAGCACTCAAATGTGGCAGTCAAATGTTCAGCAAGAATTTGCACATAAAACTCGAGAAAGCTTAAAAAAAGGGTTCTAAACACACAAAAGAACATATTCAAGCATGATTTCTTGCTAGCAACCTTTCCTTGGGTAGGCTCTGTTTGCTAGTGGCAAGCAGAGGCATGGCTCCTATAAGATGCAGCTTCCTGGTTTGTGCTGGCAGATAGCCAGCTCTTTGGGAGGTCCTGCAATGGAGCACTTGAATGGTGTTTGTGGGTGACTGATTGCATACTGCTTGGTAGCAGCTTGGACCCAACAGCTTCCCAGAGTTGGAACATGAAGCTTGACTCTTGCTGGTACTTCCACCATGAAACTGGACTCTTAGGAAGTCTACTGGGGTGGAGCCCGCCTCCAAAGCTGTCGGCTTTGGGCCTAATCATGCCCACTTGGCAGTTTAAAAACTTACGTGGTCAGAAAAGGGTTATGGATACACAGTAAAGACAGATTCAGATGGAAAAAAAAAAAAAACCTCTATAAATGGGTTATAGTGTGTTTATCTTGACTTCAAAATTTAAGTCAAAAGATAGGTTACTTTGGGAAAGAGATTCTGCTTTTATCTCCACAGGAAATGAGAGGCTCTGGATTCATTCTGGGTTAAGAAAAATCAGATTTGATCAAGGAAGACCCCTGAAAAATCTCCAATGGGAACACATGGCCCAGATGATCCAGTGTTTCAGAGCGCCCCTGTTGCAGTTTCCTCTGAGTTCTGTATCCAGAAAGGCTTCAAGGCTGCTACAGGCTGAGATGATCTAGCCTCACAGAGTCAGGACTTGACCATAATCCTAAATTTCCTCAGGGTCCCCCAAAGATTACCAGCGCCCACAATCAGCAGGAAGTAGTCTAGAGAACTATGCTCACATTCCCAAAAATAAATTATGGATATTTGTCATTGTTTAGGGAGTTGGTTACAAGTTGTTATTGGCAGTGGTCAGAAAAACTGAACAAAGGAGATTAGATTCAGGGATCTAATTGTAAAAAGAAAAGGGGTATATGGAAATGATAGGATAAAAGGGTAGATTATTGAATCTACTTTAATCCAAAAAAACAACTATTAATCTTACATATTTTACATTAGTATGGACCTTGGTTTATTGATACAAATTTAAAGTTAATTTTCTTATACTGTATGTATATTTCTACTCTTGTTTAGGGTATTATGTTTATGCAGCTCATTTAAAAAATGTAATATATAATTAGGAAATACAGATTAATAGTCAACTATAATAGCAAACGTATAGTCATGTTAGGTATGTTTTCAAGGTCATACAAAGATATATTTTTAGACAATCTTCAAACACTTCAAAGACCTATAGAATATGGCATTTAAAATGTTTTAAGAACTTAAGACTTTCCTTGACAGTGAGACTCATCTGCTCCTGGCAGCACCAATCTACTTCAGAGAAGATGATGGGCATTGAAGAAACTCCATATGGAGTTTACTTTCTTTGTGGCAAAAGTTAGCCACTAGGCAAGAAACTGCCCTTGCCTTGACTGCTGACAATATACTGTCCAAACTGGACAAGCAGGACACAAAAGAAAGTGACTGCAGAACTTTGCCAAGACAGGTGGGACAGTCCTTCAAAAATCCTGCATCTCAGAAAAGTCTGTCAGACATGCTAGGCCTGTAGGCCAGAGTTAGATGCACCACTGTTGCAGAGGAACTTGCCCCTGTCATTAAGTAACATTTCACCCTTCTGGGGTCTTTGATGGAGTTGAAGACTAAATAGTTACAGTTTTCCTTAGTTATAATAGAAAGTAAATTAGATACAAAACTTTAGACTCACCAAGATAAGATAGATAATTATTTTCTCTATTTTGCCAAGTGCAAATGGATTAATGTTACTGTAATTCTTAACTTTTTGTTGTATATAATCTTACTATGTTAAAGTTAAAACCTTTTTAATTAGAAAAAGGGAGGGGGAGAAATGCAGTGAAATAATCCTCTTGTACACTGTAAAGATTTGTCACTCAAATTGGTTTAATAAATCGCTGATTGACCAGTAGCCAGGCAGGAAGTATAGGTGGGGTGACCAAACTAAGAATGCTGGGAAAAGGAAGGGTGGAGTCAGGAGTCACCAGCTATTGCAGAGGAAGCAAGGTGAGAATGCTGTACTGAGAAAAGGTACCAAGCCATATGGCTAAACATAGATAAGAAATACAGGTTAAGTATAAGAGCTAGTTAGTAATAAGCCTGAGCTACTGGCCAAGCATTTGTAAGTAATATTAAGCCTCCAAGTCAATTATTTGGGAAGTGGCTGCTGGGTATTTGGGAGTTGCTGGCGTGACAGAAACTTTGGCCTACACGTATAGATTCTTGAAAAGAAACCTCAGGTTCTTTACAAAAGCAACAGGTAGGTGCTCTTAACTGCTGAACCTCTCTATCCTCTTTTTAAAATTTAAAGTAAATAGTAAGCATTTAAACCCTGTGTGACAGGACCTCTCCTAGTGCTAGACCAGCCAAAGTTTGTTGATGTTAGAATGGCTGGACACAGGGAGAAAAGAGTATGACCCTGAAGTGAAGGATGCTTGAGCAGAGTCTTGGAGATTACCTAGTTTTGCCAACTCAACCCTGACTTTGTTACTGTGCTTCCACCTGGTCCTGTTTCCTAACCCTTTTCTCTACTGTCTTAGCCATTAGTGCTGGAATCCCTATTCTTCCATCTCCTTATCCTTTTCTGTGGATACTGTCCCTCAGGCTGCCAGTTTGTCATCCCCTCTTTACTGCCCTCCTCAGCTGTCCCTACTTAATGGGACTACTAGCTGCAGATAACATTCTCCTGGAGTCTATAAGGAATCCTCTAAATTGTCTTGGCCAAGGGCTTTCCTCAGTTTCTTATCCTCTAGTATATGATGCTGTTGATGGCCACATTCCTGGTGTGCTCTTTCTCCTTTGTGTTTGAGGTGTTCTGCCCCTTCTTCCTTGCTTTCCTAATGGCTCCTCTGTAACTGCAAACATCTTTGACTGGAGCTCTATGATAGTCCTATTCCTAGTGTTCTTGGGCACATCCATCCTAAAAGTACAAAATTGGCTTCCTAAGGAAAGTTTGCTAATAATTTACCACTAATCATGGATTTAATGTAATCTTATTTGTGTTTTAATAATGTTAAGGCTTACTCTAAAATTTACATGAAAGGACAAAGGACCTAAAGTAGATTCCAAAAAAATGTTTTGAAAGGAGAATTAAATGGGTTGAGCCACTGTTTCCCATATATTATGTGGCTCTTGCAGTGAGGAACAAGCAGTGGTGCAGGGATACAGATTGTGGAGCATAATGTATAACCTAGAAACAGTGCCTATCACCAACCAGTTGATATTGACAAAGCACAAGCCAGTAGGGAAGCATAGCCTGACAAAGTGGTTTTGGGCATCTATGGTTCTGCTGTGTTCTCTGGGTTTCTGTCCCTAGATTTTAGCCAAGGGTGTGCTTGTGGCTCATCCCTCATAGACTTCTCTGTGCTCTTCTTGGGTAGGTGTGTAGAAGAGCTTTTGCTGATTGTGTTCCATGGCAAGAACTGACTTTGATTGTAGGGGAGAGGGTCTGTCTTGCTGTGGTCATTTTTGTAAAAGTATTCCCCTGGCACATCTTCGTGTTTTGAGGGTGAGACCCATGACTACCCACAAACATTGAGTATTCTTTGTAATTTAACCTGTGTCTTGGAATTAGGGATAGGGATCAGTGGTAGAGTGCTTGCTTAAGAATGTGCAAGGCCGGGCTGGAGAGATGGCTCAGGGGTTAAGAGCACTGGCTGCTCTTCCAGAGGTCCTGAGTTCAATTCCCAGCAACCACATGGTGGCTCACAACCATCTGTAATGAGATCTGGTGCCCTCTTCTGCAGGGATATATGCAGGCAGAATACTGTATACATAATAAATAAATCAATCTTTAAAAAAAAAAAAAAGAATGTGCAAGGCCCTAGGTCTAATCCCCAGCACAACCAATCAATAAATAATGTGTATTTATACACAAAGAATCACATGTTAGTGTGGGTGGGGGGTTTGGGAGTAGGGGTGTGCACATGTATGTGCTGGTCCACATTTACGTGTGTCAGGTCTCCCTGTTCCATTGAGACAGTCTCCCTGAACTCATTATTTTTCTGCTAGACTAGCAGCCAACACGCCCAGGTCTTCGTCTGTCTCCATCACTCTCATTGTTAAGAGTTGTAGGCATGTGTGGGACCATCTTGTTATGTGGGTTCTAGAATCCAAACTCTGATCTTCATGCTTGCATGGAAGGAGGCTCTTAACTGTTGATCTATCTCTTCAGCCTTCATTTATGTGTTCTTTAGTGCAAATAGTTAACTGATGTCCAATAGCTTGTTGTTATCTTATCTAATTTGCATTATATGTCATAGATTCCTCTTTCACCAACTCATAACTGACATCCATTCATGTGACCCTTTTCTTTGAAATGCAAGTGGGTGTTTCCTAATTTTTCTCCCTGCAGACAAATGCTGGTGCTAGGAATGTATTTCCTAGGAACCAAATGAAGTAGTGTAGGAGGCTGGGACCCCTTGCAAGTTTTCTTCTGACCATTCAGTTCTCAGTAAGGATGGAACATGAGTCTGGAGAGAGAAGGGGTGTTCTGTAGCTGTAGTAGGGCAAGTGATAGTTATAGACTCCTGTGGGCACGGTTGCAATAGATGGAGAGTCAGAAGCTGGGGGATAGGCTGAGGGTGTTGGTGTAGCATGAGCCCTGGTGAATAAAGTCAGTAGTGGATTGAGCCAGTGAGCCAGCATAGAGAGAGGGCAGTGGGATACTATGTGCTTGGGAAGCCAGCTGGGAACTGGAAAGGTTGATGAGTGTTGAGAAGCAGTAACCCTGGATGTTAACAAGGGAAATAATTAACAATAGTTAATAAGACTTTTTCTTTTGATATAGGTGGCTATTATCATGGAAAACTAATTTTTCCCAGAGAATTTCCATTTAAGCCTCCTAGTATTTACATGATAACCCCCAATGGAAGGTTTAAGTGCAACACAAGGTAAGCTTTCAGGTGATGCAATGCTTTGAGCTGTCTGTGGTAATGGGAAATGTACATTCTTACTGACAAAAATCACTTTCTTTCAGGCTGTGTCTCTCCATCACAGATTTCCACCCAGATACATGGAATCCAGCGTGGTCTGTCTCCACCATTCTAACAGGGCTTCTGAGCTTCATGGTGGAGAAGGGCCCCACCCTGGGCAGCATAGAAACATCAGACTTCACGGTGAGGTGTGGCAGCGCCTCGCCCTGGGCCTTGTGGCACTGTGGTTTCCAACCTTTCATCCTAGGCTGATTCTGCCCTGTTCCTGGCCACATTGTAGAAATCTCTGCTATAGCTGCCTCAGAACATGGCCCTTGGCCTCACTGCCCATCTCTGTCTCCAACTCTGCTTTTGTCCTTGCTAAACATCACTGACACTCCTGTACTCCTCAGGAGACTTTGTAAGGCTTGAGAAGGGCCTGCACAACATTTTGTTCCCTGCTTGTTTTAGTTCTCTAATATTTAAATGATAAGAATAATGTGTAATGTTAATTGATAACAAAAACATAATTAACCCTTCATAAGACTAATTTTTGAGAAGAGAAAGCATTTTAAGTGCTTTCTATAATCCTTGACTCTACAGAGGTCTGTTTTGAGGTTATGTTTTGCCGTTAGGGTTTCATTAGTGTAGGGTGGTCTGGAACTCACTATGTAGGGCAGGCTGGCATTGAATCTGTAGTGATCCTCTTACCTTAGCCTCCTGAATACTGGGATTGCAGGTATGCACCACCACCGTATCCTATCTTTTTAAAGAATCTGCACCCCCTCCCCCCAAGACAGGGTTTCTCTGTGTAATGCTGTGACTGTCCTGGAACTCCTTTTGTAGACCAGGCTGGCCTTGAACTCACAGAGATCCATCTGCCTCTGCCTCCCTAGTGCTAAGATTAAAGGCATGTACTGCCTGGCAAGAACTTAAAAAAAAAATTATTTAAATTAGCTGGGCAGTAGTGGTGTACACCTTTAATCCCAGTATTGGGAGGCAGAGGCAGGTGGATCTCTTTGTGTTTGAAGACAACTCAGTCTACAGAGTGAGTTCCACGACAGCCAGGGCTACATAGAGAATCCCTGCCTTAAAAAAACAAAAAAATTAAAATTAGCTTTCTGGCTGATATTTCCCTTTTCTTTCTTCCTAGAAAAGACAGCTGGCAGCACAGAGTTTAGTGTTTAATTTAAAAGATAAAGTCTTTTGTGAATTATTTCCTGAAGTTGTGGAGGTAAGAAAGCCAAAGATGGAACTCAGTTTTATCTTCCCCTATGTTAAAAACACTTTCAGATTTGTTTCCAAAGAGAATCTGTATGTGTGCCTACTGCTGTTTTCCTGTAGATGTTTAGGGGGATTGCAGGCTCTCTATGTTGCTGCAGGACATAGAAGGGTCTGTGCTGTCTATGCCTCCAGGTATACACATTTTTGGGTGATAGAGCTGGCTCTTCTCCAGGACCCTATAGTGCAGGAAAGACAGAGCCCAGGGATGGGGGAGACCCTGAGGGACATGTTCAAGTGTTGGGGGCTGAGTCTGTCCCCACAGAGGCATGAAACTTGCCAATCAGTGGCCATCCCTCAAGTGATCCACCAGCAATGGCTAGGAGGTATATCAGTTGCTTCTTACGGCAAGGGCTGGGTATGTACTATCCATGTGGAGTTAAGTGTTCCCTGGTTTGGGCTGCAGTTGAGACCATGACAATGAGCAGAAGCACCAAGCTGGATAGCGGTGTAATGCTTGATGGCTCATTGTTACCCGGCATTGCTGGCACCTGGCTCAGGCACAGAATAGTCATGTTGATACCTTGCTTGATTTCCTCACCTGTTAAGTGGGACCAAGAGCTATTCTCTCTTGGGTTAGGATCTACTGCAGGGGAATGGAGAACTGTGTTCTGGGTGGTATATAAACACTCGAGTGCTGCTCTCAAAGGAACAGGTTTGTTAAGACAACTGAGGGTTTTTGTGTTTTTCTCTCAGGAAATTAAACAGAAACAGAAAGCACAAGATGAACTAAGTAGCAGGCCCCAGAACCTTCCCTTGCCAGACGTGGTTCCTGATGGGGAGATGCACCGTGGCCAGAATGGGATCCAGCTCCTCAATGGGCATGCACCTGCTGCCGGCCCAAACCTCGCTGGGCTCCCACAGGCCAACAGGCATCATGGACTCCTGGGCGGCGCTTTGGCGAACTTGTTTGTTATAGTTGGGTTTGCGGCCTTTGCCTACACGGTCAAGTACGTGCTGAGAAGCATAGCACAGGAATGAGGCTCAAGAGCCGCAATCTACAGTTGCTGCTGAGGGACGCAGGGGCCAGAGCTTGATGCAGGCGGGATGGACATGCTGCTGAGCACAGGATGGCCTGCTGGACTCCTGGGCTTCACTTTTTAAAAACCTTAAAGCAAAAACCAAAATGTGTGATTTGGAGGAGATTGGAGGTTCCTAACTCCCTCTTGAGGCTGATGTGGACAAGGGCCACTCACGCTTTGGTTTTATTGCTTATCTCCTGTGTTGTCTTTTGGACCTGTTTAGTAATCCCGTTTTTTTGTTTGTTTTGTTTTGTTTTTTTCCATTTTATTAGATTTGATCACTTAAAAATATAAAACTTAAATGCCTATCAAATAAATACTGTGTGTGTTCTTAGTGGAAGAGCTGAAGACTTCATGGTGGAGCCAGTGCTGCAGACCTCCAGTGGGGGCTAAGTGGGCTGACTGGTAACAGCTGTAGTTGGGGGTCTAGGAGAGGAGCGATTTGGCCTCATTATCAAACTCCACTTATGAATGAGAGAAAATACGTACAGAAAGTGCTTGTTCTGTTCTCGTTAAGATAGAAGAGTCACCTTGCTCTCTGACCACAGTGGCTGAGGACTACAGTGAAGGCTTGGAGGATAGGGGGTGGCCCTGGTATCGCCGACAACCTTAGTACCTGTCCCTTCGTTCAGCTCCTTTGAGTGATGAAGAAGCCGGATCCCTGAGAGCCTGTTGAGCCTTTTCTCTGAATTCCTTATGTCTAGTTGGCCAGGAGCCTGTATTCTTCCTATGTTGATGGACAGTGGAAAATTCAAGTCCCCATGGACTGGGCTTACGTATTTTGAGGCTCTCCAAGTTCTCTCAACATCCTTTTTAGGTGACCTGTATTAGATGTTGATTTCTACAGATTGTGGAAAGGCAAACTGCCCAGAAAACACATCAGATTTAAGTGTCTAAGCGGGCAAGTTCTCAGTTTTTAGACACTTGACTCCATCATAGCCAACATCTTACCCTTTTAGTGTTTGTGTTTAATGTATCTGTAGTAAGGCACCAGGTAGAGCCAATGACATTGTCTGTGTTGGACATCAGTCATCACCAGGGGACCCAAAAGAGTCTCCTAAACCAACTTCATTTCAGAGAACAGTGCTGAAGCTGAAATGCAACCTTCACGATCATTTTGGTTTAGCTCTGAAATTTACAATTAGTATATACCCTCTCCTGGAAAGGTTTTAGTTATACCTTCGTTCTTAAATGCCATGCTGTCTGTGTTAATGTCCTTCCCTAGTAAGCTGTGAGCAAGAGTCAGGCCTGGCTTGAGGGGAGGGTATGATGCTGTTGCCAAAAGGTAGATTGACAACCCTGGGCCTGCAATGCCTGCAGCTATGGGCTGAGATGTGTCTTTGTATGGCATGGTGGCAGTGGGTGAGCCCTATAGACTTGAACTTCCTTTTAGCACTAGACATTAGTTCTTCCCTGGTCCTGGAGTACTCCATTGTACTTAGGTAACTGTTTAGCATCAATTCCAAAGTTTCCTTATACTCTAAAGGTCTTTTTTTTTTAACTTTTACTATTTCATTAATGTCACAAGAGAAACTGGACAGTTAGTTAAGGAAGTCATGGAGGAGACATACAGACAGAAATCCCTTTGGCTCCTTCTTCCTTAGGTGGAAGAGATTTTGAGTTCTTCCAGAGTTTTGCTTAGGTTAGTGGTTTCTGAATTGAGTTGACTCTCTAGGTAGGTGGTTCCTACACAAGGCTTCCCTGTGATTGGGTCGATAACTCCACCAACTTTGAAAATGATCTCAGCCAGTTCATGCTTCACATGCTTTGATGTCACGACAGGCAAAGCTCTGCGGAGCACGATGTCTCCAACGCAGCATTGCTGAAGGGCATCGTGAGCAAAGTAGGTCTTCCGCTTGTTGAAGTACTTTAGCAAGTAGGGATCAAAACAACTTTAGCAGTTTTTACCATTGCTGTACCAGTCACCTTCCCCACAACCATTTGGCATGGATGGATGAATGGACTATTTACATTATGGGTCTCTGAGCACCTCTGGATTCTACCACTCGGACCCAGGCCGGCGAAACATGGGGCGCTGTAACGTGAATCTTAAAAGGTCTTATTAATAAAAACAAACCCAGGGCCAGGTATTGGGGTGAACACTGAAAGATCAGAGAAACAACCAGCCATAGCTAACCTCACCTGGCCAGCTTCTCAGCTGATCCTGTTTCCTCAGACCGGAAGCCTGAGTCCTCACCTGAATGGATCTCAGCTGAACTGCTGCTCAAAAGCCTAAAAACTTAACTAGGCCAAAAGCTTCTAGTTTCTGGTCCTCACGCCTTATATACCTTTCTGCTTCCTGCCACCTGGGATTAAAGGCATGTGTCGCCATGCTTGGCTGTTTCCAGTGTGGCTTTGAATTCACAGATCCAGACGGATCTCTGCCTTCGGAATCCTAGGATTAAAGGTGTGTGTGCCATCATTTTCTGGCCTCTATATCTAGTGGCTGTTCTGTTCTCTGACCCCAGATAAGTTTATTAGGGTGCACAATATTTTGGGGAACACATACCACCACAGGGCGCAGCATCCCTGAAGTTCTTATAAGACAGAACGTTCATTTACCTAAAATGTAGTGTTCTCTGAATGTGAAAACTCAAACTTGCCCCCCCCCCCTTTTTTTTGGTAGAGCTGGCTGTCCTCACTCTGTAGACCAAGCTGTCCTCAAGCTCAGAGATCCACCTGCCTCTGCCTCCCAAGAGCTGGGATTTAAGGTGTATGCCGCCACTGTTTGACTGAAATCTCAATTCTTGGAAGCCCAGAATGAAAGAAAATCTTAGGAAGTGCTTGTTCTTAGAAGTAAAAAGTCAGCCTGCTCTCTGGCCACAAGGTGTCGCACTTAGCGTAGCAACTGAAGACTGCTGAGGAGGCTTGGTAGGTTAACCCTAAGGCTACACTCCTCTTCCAGTTTCTTTGGATGCTACAGGACACTGTATCCAGTGTATTGCCTGCACTGACCCCAAATAAAAGATGACCTTTGTTCTATTGGATCAAGCATGTCTAACCTTGTTTGTATGTTGCCCTTCTTGGGAGAAGTCACTGGTGGGGCCAATTGGCACCCTGGACTGCCCTCCATTAGATCTTCCTTGTATAGTGAAAAGCCTCTTCCAAAGCTCACATCCTATTGATATTTAGGGACAGGTACCTTGGAAGGAAACATCTCAGGCCTGCCACCTCTTGTTCCTCTCCTTAGGAAAAAAAACTCCCAGGCAGCCTTTGGGAATTTCTTTTTTAATAGGGCCTCATATAGTTCACGCTGGCCTGAATTTACTATGTAGCAGAGGCTGGCCTTGAATTCTCTTGTCTGCCTCCTAGGTGCTGGGATTTATAGGCCTGACTGGCCTTTGGGAATTTCATTATAGAATGGTTAAGAGGGAGTACCCTCCTTGTATAGTAGGTTCCTGTCAAGCTGTTTTCTAAGGACTTGGGGTGAGAGCCAGACGTTGGACCTGATCCTCCTGGGGGTTGCTTTGGTCTTCTTGGTCAGGGTTCTTGTAAACCAAAGTAGAATCCTTTTGGTTGTTTTCTAAGTTGTTTGTGGCAGGGAGATGTTGAAGCTGAAAAACTGGTAACTTGAGTCCTTCCCCAGTCTTAAAATGAGGTCCTTACTGTGATATCCCTGTGACAGGCCAAGTCTAGCCTCCTAGCCTACCTGCTTACAAACTGCCTGCAAGGCAGACCTGGGAAATCCCATTACCAGTCACACTAAGAAAGTTATGCCACCAGGACATAAGTAGACCCAGAAGAGCAGGGTGCTGCGTGTGTGAGGAGGAGGTCTTTGGGCTGAGGCACTTGCCCTCCCCAACCCTGAGCTTTGAACTCCAGGCATAGAGGCTGAGTGGGTACAGGTCACTGCCAGGGATCAAATGCTGGTACTTCCTCATCATCCACAGTAGCCTCACCAGTAAACATAAGGGCCAAATTAACTTTTGAGGGCTTGAGGCATTTACAGTATGTGTGGAACACTTCAACCTCTGCTGTTCATTTCCCTGGGAGCTGGGAACATGAGGGATGGACACTTCCTTTACATTCTTCCCCATCCCAGTGTGTTTGTTAGGCTTCTCTGACGGGGTGTGGCTTGGAGTTGGGTTTGCTTGTTTGGCCACCTTTCACTTTTCTTTGATGTGGGACTTGAAGGGGCTCTATTCTAGAGAATTCTGTTCTGTTTACCAGGACCCGATACTGTAGCATGAATCTTAAAGAGTCTTATTAATAAAATCAAACCTGAGGCCCTTTATTGGGGTGAATGCTGGAAGGTCAGAGAAGCAGAACAAGCCACAGCTAACCTCACCTGGCCAACTTCTCAGCTGATCTGTTTCCTCAGATTGGATACCTCTGAGTCCTCATCCAGAATGAATCTCAGCTGAACTGCTGCTCGAAAGCCTGAAGCTTAACCAGCCAAATGCTTTTAGTTTCTGGTCCTCACGCCTTATATACCTTTCTGCCTTCTACCATCACTCCCTGGGATTAAAGGCGTGAGTCACCATGCTTGGCTGTATCCTTGAACAGATGAATTTCTGCCTCTGGAATGCTAGGATTAAAGGCATGTGCTACCACTGCCTCTCCTAAGTATCTAGTGGCTTTTCTGTTCTCTGACCCCCAGATAAGTTTATTGGGGAACACAATACCACCACACAATACCACTGGAACCAGTGTGTTTTGGGGATGCAGCTCCTGTTTCTTTATAGAGCAGTTAGAACCATTGGCTGGCTGTCTTAGCCACAGCTTTTACCAGTTGGAGGTCATCTAGCTATTGGGAATCCTGCCTACTCTCACAAGGACCACTACCTCAGTCACTGAGGCCAGGGTACTCATTGGCTTGGCTTGACCTCAGCCAACCAACTTGTAGCCTGAAGGTGATTCAGAAGACCTCTGGGGACCTGTATCACAAATAATTAAGGGGAAATTACACTGGTCAGAGATTGACAGGGAGCAGCTCCCCCTGAGTCTGTGCTAGCTTCTTAGGAGATAGGCCTAGGGGACTGCCAGTGGAGGAGGGCAGGTAGAACTTGGCCCTGTGCCTGGTGTAGAGTCAAGATAGACTGCCACGGCCAGCCTCTCCTTGCTGTGCCTTTTCACAGAGGTCAGCCTGGTAGGCCTTATGTAAGCAGAGGAGGATCACTGGCTGGGAGGGACAAGCAGCCAGGTGATGGAGATGTTCTGCTTTTCCAGTGCGCTGTGTTAGGGGTTTAAGGTAGGGCAGCTGCATCTGGGCTTGAATGAGGTGTATGTGGGAAGGTCTGGGAGATTCGTAGACAGCTTCCTAAAGTGAATAAATCACTTGGGATTCACTGCCCTGAAGGTGTGAGTACAAAAGATG